TGAAACTTTTAATTTGTGACACTAAGTTCACTTGATCTCTTTTTACTTAAACCAACCTAATTCGTAGCAAATTATCAGGAATAAAATAGCAATCATACTCTACACCTACTGTTATTTATTTAATTAAAAATCATACATTAGGGATTATGAAATACAAAAAAGGTTTCAATATGATAGTTACATATCTCCTTGATGAATTTATGAACTAAATTAATTAATTTTTTTTTTCCAATCCGACTTACCTGACTACTCACTCACTCACTCACTGTCTAGATTAAGAAGTCCAAGTTTTTTTTATGGAAGCTTTTCTTGATAGACACTCCCTGGGGAGAAATGAATTTCATTCAAATTTATTGACTAATAAACCGGCTATTTCAATGTTTATTTCAAATTGAGCCAATTGAGCCAATGACTGTAAAAATCGCCACGAATTAATCAATACAACGAAAATGCTATGAGAATAAAATAACTAACTACATACTCAATAAACTGATACAATTGAAATTTATTCTGCTTTAATTCATACAATATAATTACGTATTCAAATGAAACTGAGCATAAATCATTTTAAATCAATATGTGAATTTCATGGTACTTTATTTTTCCCTTGTTGAACGTGTAATAAGGACATCCCCTCAAGGCTTTCATCCTACTCGGTATTATTTGCTCGAATGTTATTAAACTAATACGCAGTTTAGATGACATTATTATAATATAAAATTAAGGCATCTTAAATTTGATTTAGTATTGTCTATTTCCAATTTAAAAGAATATTAAAGATTCTCATTGTGAAAATTAGAACAACACATATAATAAGTGAACAATATTGTTTTTGATTAGATCATCATCAGGCTTTACCCTACAATATACATGAATATTTATATGACAGTGTTAAACTAATCAAGGCAATTTGAGTCAATAATCACAATGAAATGAAACAGAGATTACGTCATTACAAATAATAGGCAAAAGTACAAGTTGATAGTCGGACGACAGGTGTACTTGTACGTTTGCCTATTATGTGTAGTGACGTAATCTCTGTTACATTTCATTGTGATTATTAACTCAAATTGCCTTGATTAGTTTAACATTTCCATATAAATATTCATTTATATTAGAGAAAAGCCTGATGATGATCTAATCGAAAACAATATTGTTCGCTTATATGTGTTGTTCAATTTCCAATTTCTAACTTCAGCTACAGCTCTATAGAGACGTAGTAATAACCACTATTAATATGCAACAGTATTGAAAAGCCGATGAAAATATGCGTTTCAAATCGAACACTTCGAATAAATAAACACTTTATTCTACTAATAAAGTTTACAATTCATTTCATCTTCTCTTGTGTTTTTCTTGATCTAAGAATCTAAGCAGAAAGAAAGTTGGTTACCGTTAAGAGATCGATTAATACAAATATCATAGTCCTCTAAGATTTTATTTGATCGTAGGATAGTTTAGTGATGGAGGTTTTGACAGTTAAAATCCTTCTCAGAGTAACGTTTTCCATCTAGACTTTCTCTATATCATGCTGAGGAGCACCCACTATCACACGATCGATGTTCCTGATTTTTTTCATTATATCCAGCCATCAGAACCAAAGTGAAACTTACTATCAAGTTATCTAATCTGTAAATGTAATGATTAGATTTCGACAGTGTTAGATAACAACTTTAGATAGCATGACATTAATTACTAGTATGCATTAAATTAGTTGACATTTCTAGAGACTAAAAGTGAAAGTATTGAAAAGTTAAAGTACACAAAGCTCATTGACGGAATTTCAAATGCAATTTTAACTTATTAAACAATATCTGAGTAAGATTGATTCTGTACTCATTGTGAGGACTATGATAAGTTAGCAAGACAATCAGTTTATCATTGAAACGATCGGTGAAGCAAACTTACTCATGATCTGATTTCAGTAAACTACGTAATAATCCCCGAAAAAGTGCTCAGAATCCAGGAAAAGCTTGGAAATAAATCGACTTTATTCTGTAGAAACTTCCATGAGAAATTCGAAAAAAACTTTGATGATAGTTTCTTCATTTTCATCCTAAAGTTATCGAAATCTCATGTAACCGTCTAAACACTTGTTTTTTGGTTTTAAATTTCACCTTTGAAATAAGGCTTCTTATAATTTCTACCCATGGCTCCTGAGCAGCGAACTTCTAAAGGTTTAGACGTGGCCATTACGCACGTGTCTGAGCGCTGAAATACCAAACTTATCTGTAGCTATCATGTTACATCAAGTAATGAGTTCAATCTAAATGAAATGGACATTTTCGTATTAATTTAACTCGCTTTAAATTCGGACTGGAAAACTGTTTGTTTTTATATTACTTTTAATTGACTAAAAATCGAAACTATAGAAGGATAATATAGATTTTAAGGAGTACCATTACTCAACTTTTTTCAACATAGGTGCTTTTTGAATACATTACCTCAATAGTCCCATTTAACCACAAGTTGTAGCAAAGTTGTATAATGGCTAGCAGCGTAAACCAGGATGAGCGCTTCATCCTGTTGGGGATTCACCAGCCGCATGTACCTGCCTATCAGTGGGTATCAACATAGTTATGCAAAGGCATCCGACTGGAGAGTTCCATATAGCCAACAACATTCATTCTGGATTCCAATACTTATCACTCAGTTGCACTAAACACCATACTTACTGTACTTTTTAATGTAACCAAGAATATTTATGATATCACTAATTTGTGTACGCAGAGAGAGATTAACCGTAGTGATTTTGAATTTAAAGCATTATTGTAGTAGAATCGATTTGAAGGAACGATTTTGCCTCAAATTAAACTGCATTGAATTTTTGAATTGATTGCGATTTTTATGAACATAAAAAATAGTTCAAATAAGTGTAACAATTTATTATCTTACTGATAAGCCTTTCTCTGTTACAAAAAAGAGATACGTTGAATTTATATCGTATCTACCATAATCGATTGTAAATGCAAACATAATAAATATGATGACAAAAATTGGTACTGACATTTCATTGTATACAAACACAATATCATACACCGTCATATGAAAACGTATATACCGGGCTTACTGAGTACTTGATGTAAAATTAGTTGATTTTTGGCATATAAAACAAAACTTATTAGCCCTTTTGGTTACATATTTTCTAATGAACTGTACATATATAGCATAGAGTGGCTAATCAACTATTATGCTTAACAATTGATATGCTTAAACTATTACGAGTTCACCTTAGTCAAATAAGGAGAATAAAACAATGAACCAGTGTCCATGTAGGCTACTGTGATCTCTTGACCAAATAAAATCAGTAAGAAGTCTTGAAATAGTGTAGAATTTGTATTCTACAAACACCCAGCTAGCACACACTCAAGCCAAGCACTCAAATTGCGTTTATTTATGCTCCATAGAGACGCCCTTGGGATTGTCACGAAATAACACACTAAAATAACTCAGTAACCAATCACAGCTAAGGTTTTTCTTGGTGGGAAATGTGATCTCAAGGGCAACTGATCGGTCCATGAAATAAATCCAAAATAAAGACATTTATCAAGCGAGTCGAGTTGTGGGGATTTAACATCCCCAACACCAAGACAAGTGATCCATTGACACGATAGGCTACTCTAATCCGAGTGTTCCAAGCCCCCATAAACGGTATCAAATATCTTGATATGGCGTAGAAAGTGCATTATACAAGCACCCAGAAAATATGAGGTCTAGGACAGAAGAAAAAGAAGAGGAGCTTCAAACTTTACAGACAGTGTATATTTATACAGTTAGGTCGACCGTGAATACTAACCAATAGGAAACAACATTTAAAAGTAGGTGAACTTAATAGTTTAGGACGACCTTAGATATTGACCAATTAAATTAGACTTGTAAAATAATTTCTTTAGGATATTTTATGAATTTTCCAACATAAACCAAGTCAAAAATTGACTGAAATTAGAAATATGGATCACTGAGTTACTCTTTAACGATTCGAAGTAAATCTTTGATGAATGAAATTCTGCTAATTCAAAAAGATAAAATACGCTTTGAACAATCAGCAACTAAACGATATTTAATCCAAGAAACTCATAAATGATAAAGACTGATCAAACTCATTCAATAGAAAATATAATCACAGTGTTTCATTTACTTTTGTGAAGTTGAATGCGAAACTTTGTCTTCCAATAAGAAACGGTATATTAGGGAGATTTTTGATTCATTGGGAAAGCTACCTACACTTATCAACTAAAATCAATAATTTGATAAATAACCTTTTAATCAACAAATTTAGTTAATGAGCTTAGAAAAAAATAAATAAAATTCAATAGTCAAATTATTCCCAAGAGTTTAGATAAATAAATAAATTTTTTAAAAGAATCAACAAGAAAATTTTTTTAAGAATTAGGATTAAAAGAATGTAATCTAGGGTTAAGGAAAAATAATGATTTGTCAAGAAATATTTAGAAAAATATTGTAAGAAATTATAAGAAATACTCTTATATACAATGATTTAGGTAAATGTTTAGACATACAGATATGAGATGTTAGCTTGTCAAGCCTAAGAAAATACGTTTATATGATAATCAGCCATATTGTATAATGACTGAAATGTCTAACAAATAAACGGTTTACCATCAAGCGAAGTTTTAGTGCATTTAGCTATCAGTGTATGATTGAATGTGTAACACAGATAAATTAAACTATAGGACGCATTATGAGACGAAACAGTTGATTCTTCGGTTAAACCGAATAAGGATTAAATAGACGTATTTTTGTCTCAAAAATTTTAGAAAACAATTTCCTTCAATGCATTTTATGAGCTCACTTTAAATTAGTAGTAATTTTAATAAAAGTTTCAATTTCCAAAACAAATATTTTTTAGATGATAAGAAAGAAATGAAATTAGTCAAAACAATTTCTAATAAAAACATTTTTTGTTATCTTTTCATGATCTAATCAGTTGACTCTAATATTTTTACGAAAAAAAATAATGATTTATTCAATCTTTGTAGAACCGGTGTATTTGCTCGATCACGTGCACTTGAAGACTGTCGACGAAGAACAAACGCTATTCTAAAAACCATTCAACCAAATCACATAAATATGGATTTAATAAGATCTGCTAGAATCAATGCAGCGAAAGAAGCTTATTGGATGAATCAATTAACTAATAGACTAGAGCATGTACAAGTAAGTCAATGTGTTTTCAGATGAATGGGATCTTCATATTCTATTTTTAAAATTTGTAAAATGTAAAAAATCGTTTTAATTTGAGAGTTGATTTGGACGAGTGTGTAAATGACGCTCTTAATAATGGTTATTTTGAAATCATAGATCTATCAATTTAAGATCATCTCTGGAAACCTGGAAGCATTGAACAGCCGCTTCGTCCAGATATGGGACTCATCAGCAAAACGCATTGCCAACTCCCGCTATTCACAGGATTCGTACCCAGGACCTCCAGTCTTGAGTGCGAGCACTTACTCTCTGGACTACTGAGCCAGCAACCAAAGAAGTTACTTACTAATTTTGATCAATCTGTGGTCTTGTACAACCTAATCCACTGTCTTCGGTTAGTTGGGGATGTGAGCTGCTGATGAGTCTCATAGCAGGACGAAAGGGCGGTCTAGTGCTTCCAGGTTTGCAATGGTGGTCTAACATTGATCGATCTATAATTTCAAACTAACTCAACAATCTCCACAACCGTTTAATGCAAAATAAGGGTTAAACAAATAAACAGATTTGTAACCAAATTGTAACTGGCCTTGATTGATCATTGGGTGATCAATTTTTTCATCATCAGCTCAGACAACATTTTAGATGAAATTCAAACTCACTTTCACCATGTTCAAAGATCTTTAAAACAAATTTTAAAAAAAAATCAATATACCTTCATCATTGGAATCAAATGTTTATTACAAAATAAAAGTCATTTATTGTTACAATGAATGTGAAAATAAATTTTTTAAAAAAATTGTCACAAGAATGAAACAATTGTCTTATTCAGTATTTATTTTAATAACTTTTCATAAAAAACAATAAAACATTTAGTTAGAATGAGTCATTATTGTTTATATTTTAGTTGATTATTTTATATTTTAAACATTATGATAAGTTGAATAGAATATCTGATTGATAATCTGTATAATTCATCTGATTGGTTAATGCATTTATTGTTAAAACTCCACTTAATGAATGTTTAACGAATGGATGTGTAATTGAGATTAAATTATTTTGACATGAATATTCCCTCACCCTCCACCCCACGCCTCCGCCACTTCTGACTCAGAGTGCACTTTAAGTGAAACATGCCTAAACGTTCTTGATTATTTATTGATTATTTTATTTTTAACTATTATGAATGATTAAATAATTGGGTTCTGTACGATGACTAATACTACTTTTTGTCCAATTATTAAAGAATTTATTTGTGAAATATTATTTGCGAACAGTTAAATAATCTGATAGAATTATAAGTTAGTGTTTAACAAGTTGGTTGTAAATTTATGAATTACCGTAAATTTCTTAATACATTGCAAATGTATTCTAACATAGTATATTAGTAAAATAAGTATGTGGTGGCCAGTGTCTCACTAATTTCGTGATGGTCGGTATCCGATGCGTTCCTGGACTTCGTATGCTGATCGTCTAGACAACCGTTACTAAATAACGCCTTCCTGTTTATGAATTAGAAGACGAATACGAAGAGTTGAACACGTATATTTGGCACACCACAATTAGATCAGCAGACAACATGCACACAAAATCAATGAGCGATTACCAGAAGGTAAGCAAAAGAGCGAGTGAGCGATTTGGCGAATAAGTTAATAAGATTAAAATGTACATATTTGTACATAGGAAAATGGCTAAGTTATCGAATCATTAAAACGAATAGGATTAATATGCGCGTAGGTGGTAAGCAATGTTCACTCGTATCAACTCATACAAACCAGACAATAAAAAATGCCGACGGTACCTATAAGTTATTGCTATACATATGACTCGGTTTAATAAGTTGATCAAAAGGCGTAAACAATTTAGATATGAACAAGCTCAATTGTATGTGGAGGTACTACAAGTATAGAATTACATTTTTAGGATACAAATTTGTCAACTTTGAAATACAGTTTGTGTGCTGATGCCATTCTTATACTGGAAAGTGAGATGGTTTGTTTTCATTGGAATTCATTTCATGAATCATTGTAAACTCATACTTTACTTACTTACTTACTAACGCTTATTACCCCCCAACGGAGCATAGGCCGCTGACCAGCATTCTGCAACCTACTCTGTCCTGGGCTTTCCTTTCTAGTTTTTCCAACTGATGTTCATTCTTCCCCTGTCAGTCTCCATTTCTCGGTTTATTTATACTTTAAAAGACACTTAATCACTGACTAGAATCTGAATTTCTTACTTAACAATACACTGAATATCTGATTTATATTATGTTCTTAAATAATGAAATCACTGTCGACAGGATAAATGATTTCTTGCTTAGATTGCTACTCTATAATCATGTTCGGCTTAAGTGGAATAACCAACTTCCCATTTGTGTAACATGAATTATCAACGTTCTACAAAATAACTCTAAAGACAATAATTCTTAGCTAAATGTCAAGTGTTTTTTTTTCAGAAAAAACAAAATAAATTCTACAAATTTTTTTCCTCGGCTCTTAATAAAACATATTGTAGCATCTCACCATTCATTCATTTATTCAGGGTACTTCAGTGATTTTTCGTTTAAATTATTCGATAATTGTATCGACCATAATTTTGTATTTGTAATAATTCGATTACAGTATCGATTATTGTATATCTGGTTGTGTGTGTGGATGCTTACTCGCTTATCACATGTCTAGCCTATTATTGCTTGACTATAAATACTTAGCCATTCTTCAGCTCATGGAGAGTTGGCTTACTCGCCTTCTCCAATTCGCTTCGTTTTGCTTGTACGCTTTTCGTTTACATGTTTGTCTGCATAAATGAATGCATGAAATAAATTCATCTGCAACATCGTATCTGGCTTCTTACTACCGCCGTCTCACAAACAGGGTTAGCCCATGTATAATATACGGAAGTGGAGAGGAAGATTTATTTCATTGCATATTCGGTCATTCGTCCACATTGAAGTCCAGTAGTCAGCCGCTAAAATATCATCTCCTTTTATGGAGAAAGACAGATTCAGTTTGAAATGGATCGTCCTGTTTGTGTCATAGAAATAAGTATGAATACTATGAAATTTAGTTCTTGCATTGCAAATCAAGCAACATGCAATGAAAATATCCTCAATCAATCGTAACTTCAGTGTTTGTTTTTGCTCCTGGCATTTTTAAAGAACCAATAGTAAAGTAGCATTAACTCTTAACTATTTTCCTATGCAAAATGTTGACAATTTGTACTATTTAGTTATTGATCGTTCACATCTCTCTGTCTGTTATAAGTCAAGCCCAATCATATGATCAGTATAAACAGTAACTCAAAATTTTTAGGCTACATCACAGCGTTAATTTCATTTTCCCTATTCATACGACTTATTTTATTTACAACTACAAAATCCCAAAGTTTAGTTAAGGTATTAAATAAAAAGTTTTATTGATCGATTATTTCATAATTTCTCTAAGCATTGACAGACGTAAGATATTATCCATCTTTAGACAATTATCAATGTTTACTAACTTTATCGATCGATGAGTTGAACTTTCATAATCACAATTACTGATATCCTTCAATGATTCGACTTTATTTAACAAAAAATAAAAAACAAACAATAAAAAAATGTTTTGATTTCCACATCTATTGGGTTAAATATGACATTCATAGATTAGAGAACTTTCTAGAAATAATTTTGTTTTGTTAAATCATACTAACGGTAAACAAATTTTTTTAAAAACAATTACATTTCAAAAGATTAAAAATATGGGAAAAATAATAATAATAATATGAGCAGAATAAAATAAATTCCGTTTTTATAATTCATTACTATATTTTGATTTCACTGATTACACAATCGAACAAAATATTTAAAAACTAAAGTATAAAACGATTAGAAGAAAGTTAACGTGAACATTTATCAATATGATTGATATATGATAGTTCAAATTTAAAATATCGAATAAAACATTATGGAAAGTGACATTATAAACAAATGATTCAGTTAAAAGAATATATATATATATTTAAAATGAGTTCATTTAAAAAACTGTTTGTATATGAAATTAGAATTATGAAGATGAAACATCTCTAGAAGAATTTCTCCACCAAATCACTTGACTTCTGGCAGAAATTTAAACAAACAAATGGATCATATATATATACAAGATTTGGAAAGATAATTTAGTATAGTAGCTAAGTGTTATGTAAATGGAGTTACGTAATCATTTAATAACAAGAGAGATGATGAACATTTTCTACTAACTTTTGTAAAGCTCAGTTAGGCTAAAATGACGCTATAAGGTATTAAAGCTTAGAAAAGGACGTGACAGTGTAGTCAAATAAAAGATGAATTTCAGAAATCGATATCTAACAAACAGGAATGACGACATTGGTATGCATTTTGAAGGTACTTGAAAGAGATGCGTAGTTTCAATATGCTCAACGTTTTCGTTAGACTTGTGATCATAAGAAATAAACATTACGGATGCTGATAGACCACATGTTTGAATATAACTTCTTAGAATTATGAAACAGCAGTTTTATTTATGAAAAATATATTTCTATGAAAGTAGATTCCTTTTTTAAGATTGCGTGTTTTTAAAATTGTCCACGGATTGTTTCTAACCAAACAATCACTGAGCTAAGTGAATTTAGAACAAGTAATTACTGAGTGTCAACTCATTCATCGCCCTAATGGTAACATACTCGTAAACAGGATACTTATTTTGGAGTAACCACTGATAAGACGTCCTTTATTAGGAATTAAACGTAACCATTAGTCATCTTTAAGTTTAATTAAATTTATGATAAAAACCATCTTTATGTTAACTTTGGTAAATATGCCAAATTATGATTATTTTTTCACGCTACTCTTAAATGCATAATCTGCTTTTAATTTTATTTCAGACTCAAATACAACTACAATTTATCACGGAATTATGTTTATTGCAAAAAGGATTGACTAATCACTATTATATCTTAGATCAACAAGCTGTGAGAATGCATTTACCAGAGATAACAAATACCAATTCAACATTTTCAGCCTGTGAATTAATTGGTTCCAATTCTCAGTTTACTGAACAAGCATTATTGATTTTGTCCAACTGGAAATTGGATCCATTAACAAATAAACAAATTAAACATACATTAAAAACTCCTGTCTGTCATTTCTCTGTTGTAGTTCCTGCTACCTATGCTGAAAGTAAGTAATATATCTTGACGGTACATGAATATACACATAATTATCACTAAGATAAACTTCTTTTTCCCAACTAAACAAAACTTCATAATTCAAATTAAAAACTTACAATAGGTAATCATTTTAGACCAAAAACATGGGAACTTTTGAAGAGTCTTCATATTCATTACATTTGACTCAACAATTTGCTTTTAAGGTGTTTGAATAATTTCTTTAATAATGGATTTATTCATTGTTTAAGTGTTAAACTTTCAGGCAGTCAGCTGGTGAGAAACAAAGAACACTTGAAGGAAAAACGTATGAGTAAATTTCTTCGAGCCACTATGAAACCAAGTAACTGAATAACGTGCAAAATTCACCAAAAATTGTGTAGTAGTTTTGAATTTACAGACAATATCAACGTATCGTAAAGGAAATATCTGAAGTGTAGTATATAACTCACATCTCTATGTATCTACACAACAATATTACTTCGCGTTTCAAGTTTTCTAGACTCTTTGTTCTTCTTATCAGGCTCAAACAAAAAGATTTAGTTACGTAATATCATGAATTAAATGTCAGCTCAGTGGTTAAGAGATTAAACTTTCACACAGGCGACTGAAGATTTTAGGCTCAATTCTCGAATACAAGTTTCAAATAGTACACTCCCAAAAAGGACTAATTCTAAGACGAAATGGACATCCAGCTGTATCTGGTTTCGATTGATGGTGGTCTATCTGAAATCAGTCCAAGACTTAAATTCTAAAAAAAAATTGCTTGAGAAATGATTTGTATCACAGAAAGACTTTGAAATAGAGTGAAGGATATAATATAAGGCTGTACCTATTTCCTAGACATCGAATTCTAGTAGCCTATTATTTTATTTTATATCTTCGATTGTAAACTGTATAATATTTATATGTGTTCATCTTTTATTTATTTATATATTCCGGCAATAAAACTTTTGGATTAAATTCTTATATTACAATGACCAAATTTTAAATGTCATCTATTATTTTTTTTTGAAGGTCATCTATCACGTTTATTAAGAATGACTAGTTTAAATGAACAATCATTTCAACCGAAAAATATGAAAACCAATGAACATATTACCTCAATTAACAATCAAACAGAATTTATTCAAGTTGATGGAAATCAATTAGATTTTGACTATGAACAACTTACCATATCAATTGGAAGTCTGTCAACTTTGATTAATGCTATTTATCGGTTATTATTAACTAGTTTAACAGTAATGATGGCTATGGGTGGATTGTTAGTTTGTTTGCATATGATTTCAATTTTAGGACGTATAATTATACGAATTCCAGTACGTAAGGTGAGATGAAAAAAGAAAATGAAAATTTTTATTTCAAACTTATTTATTGAGTTTTAAATAGTGTCTCTTTTTCATTGTAATTTGACGCGAAATATATTATTTCAAAATGAATTCCTAAAGTTAACTCATTGAACTAAGGTTTAAAATGATTGAAAACTGTCATAGAAAATTATAAATCTTGATTTATTCACTTATGATTCTCATTACCAATAATAGTTTAAACTTCACCAATGAGTTCACAACCCTGTGAAACTTAATATGTTCTTATGAAGTATGCTATATGAACCAGAACGTAAATCAACTTTAATATATTTAAAGATATGTATTCAGTAACGGAGTATTCACCAAACCAGTCTTTAGTGTACACTAATTCTAATTAAATCGATTTAAACCCATCATGGAGTATTTTTGTTGTATATGTGATACTATTAAATGTTTGCTTATTCCAAGAGTTACACATGTACATACATATACCCTCAGTTTGCATTACCAGTGAAAAGTGCAAAATATTGTAGAATATGTATAACTGAGTAACAAGTAATTTGTATACAAACTTTAATTCAGTGTTTTGTGATTACACTCGTGTCTCATATCGATGTAACAGATAAACTATCCAGTCAATTGATAGTCAGTTTGATTATGTAGATTGTAGGACACAAATACAGTGCATATCAAACGTCGGTGAAAGTACTGGCAAATAACTATACATTACTGTTGCTATTCAGATAACCTGTTCAGGACTCAAACATTTAATAGCTCTAATGGTAACAAGAAATATGTTCATACTTGGTTCATGTTTACATGTCATTTAAGCAAAAAATCAATTGTGATTTCAATTGTTACTTATGAGAACTAAATTAAATACCGCATACCCTATTCAAATAATCAGGGTGATAAGAAAAGTCCTTGAAAATTATTATTTAGTAGTAAAAGACAGTTTGGGTAAAGTTTCGTCTTGATATTGTTTCTTTCGAAATAGGTTCGTTTAATTTCCAATGTAACTCGATTCTAAAATACATTGGTTTTGATGTATCCTTAACAGTTCATCAACATCACGTGACAAACATAAAACACCAATCACAAATACACTTAGTACGAGAAAATGTGAATCAGCTCTAAATCCCTGATGGTTCACAACTGGATAGTTGATTTCTTTCTACCCTGGCCTTTTAGTTCAGAAGTCCTTAGTCAGCCTCCACAAAATTCAAGCAAACTAAACATACCAGACTTCATCATACCATAAAATCAGAAAATGCATCTATAAATGAGGGAGCAAAAAGTAACTGTATATAAGGGGGACAGTGATCAACTTCTAGAAATAGATTGAGAATAATAAATCATAAAATAGCTATCAATGAATGAGTTTTTCGAAGATCTTAATATAAGGAATATATATATATATATATATATATATATATATATATATATATATTTATAATTAATACTGAATATTTATACTATGAGGTTATACACAGAAAGAATCTACAGACCAGTCCTGGAAGTTACTATCCCCCCATTATTCTTCCTGATATAATAGATTTCTTACGATAATATAATCTTCGGTTTAAAGGCATTTCACACTTTTTAAACCCATGTATCTGAAACTCAACTGAACACAGAGAGTATTTCTTTGAAGATGATATTCATCACAGAATGACATTGAATACCAGACTGTTACATTTATCTTCTAATAACAACAAATATTTGGTGCAATCTATTTGAAATTAAATGAATCAGGAAATGTTGATCATGAAATCTTAACCCAATGACCTGATGGCATTAGAATAGTCAAGAAACCTGTAGGTTTGGAGTATAATTTCATATACTTATGACTACTTCTTAGTATTGTTTGACTGGAACGAAGCAGCTGTATAATACTTCCTGGTCTTTCATGATTAACCGACACTCTTTAATCTGTAACTTTAAGCAAATCGCTACAAATCTCTCTGTGGAATAAGAAACTAAAACCAACAATTCATTCTTTCAATATAATATAGTCTATTAAAAAGGTTAGGAATTCGCCGTTGTAATCATATCAGAATTATTTACGTCTATTTAATTAGACTTAAATAATGTCATATGATTACAACGGCGAATCCCTAACCTTTTTAGTAGACTATATTATATAGAAAGAATGAATTGTTGGTTGAGTTTCTTATTCCACAAAGAGAATTGTAGCGATTTGCTTAAAGTTACAGATTAAAGAGTGTCGGTTAATCATGAAAGACCAGGAAGCATTATACAGCTGCTTCGTTCAAGTCTAACAGTACTAAGCAATAGTCATAAGTATATGAAATTATACTCCAAGCCTACAGGTTTTGTCAATATTCTGACACCGTCAGGTCACTGGGTTAAGATTTCATGATCACCGTTTCCTGATTCAGTTAATTTCAAATAGATTGCAAAAAATATTTGTTGTTATTAGAAGATAAATGTAACAGTCTGGTATTCGATGTCATTCTGTGATGAGTATCATCTTCAAATTAGATTTTGTTCTCGTTTAAATAAATACTATCTGTGTTCAGTTTAGTTTCAGATACATGGGTAAACTACTTACTAAAAGCATGAAATGCCTTTAAATCAAAGATTGTATTACCGTAAGAGATCTACTATATCAGGAAGAAGATTGGAGGGATATTAACTTCCAGGACTGACTTATGGATTGTTATTGTGTATAACCTCATTGTATAAATATCCAGTAACGAGCATATGTATGTATATACAAATACCTTTTGTAAAGATCTACCACTGAACTCATTGATTACTGTTATGTGATTTATTATTCCCAGTCTATTTCTAGTAGTTACTCGCAGTCTCCCATGATCAAGGCCACTTTTACGCCCTCATTTATAGATATATTGTTTCATTTTATGGTATGATGAGGTTTTGTATGTTTAGTTTGCTTGGATTTTGTGGAGGCTTACTAAGTCCTTCTGAATTGAAAGGCCACGGTAGAAAGAAAAGCAACTATATGGTTGTGAATCGTCAGGGATTTAGAGCTGATTCACATTTTCTGGTACTAAGTGTAATGTGATCGGTGTTTTATACTTGTCACGTGATGTTGATGAACTGTTAAGGATACAAGAAGACCGATGTATTTTAGAATCGAGTTACATTGAAAAGTAAACAAACACATTTTGAAAAAAAACGATACTAAGTCGAAACTTTCCCAAACTGTCTTTTACTACTAAAGAGTAATTTTCAAGAAATGTCCTTATCGCACTGATTATATGAATGGGGTATGCGGTATTTAATTTAGTTCTCATAAGTGAAAATTGAAATCAGAATTGATTTTTTGCTTAAATGACATGTAAGCGTGAACCAAGTATGAACATATTTCTTGTTACCATTAAAGCTATTAAATGTTTGAGTCCTGAGCAGGTTGTTTGAATAGCAACAGTAAGATTATCAGCAATGTATTTCGCCAGTACTGTCACCGAAGTTTGATATGCACTGTATTTGTCTCCTACAATCTACGTAATCTAGGTGACTATCAATTGACTGCATAGTTTACCTGTTACATCATTGTACGACACAAATGTAGTCCCAAAACACTGAATTAAAAGCTTGTATACAAATTACTTGTTACTCAGTTATACATATTATAAAATGTTTTGCACTTTTCACTAGTAATGCAAACTGATGGTACATATGTGTACATGTGTAACTCTTGGAATAAACAAACATTTATGAGTATCACATATAAAACAAAAATACTCCATGGTGGGTTTAAATCGATTTAATTAGACTGGTTTGGTGAATACTCTGTTACTGAATACATATCTTCAAATATATTAAAGTTGATTTACATTCGGATTAGTATAGCATACTTCACAAGAACATACAAAGTTTCACAGGGTAATGAACTCACTGATGAAGTTTAAATTATTATTGGTAATGAGGATCATAGGTGAATAAATCAAGGTTTATAATTCTTTATGACAGTTTTCAATCATTTTAAACCTTTCAATCATAACCTTAGTTCAGTGAGTTAAAATTTAGGAATTCATTTTGAAATAATATATTTCGCGTCAAATTACAATGAAAAACAGACACTATTTAAAACTCAATAAATAAGTTTCAAATGAAAATTTTCATTTTCTTTTTTCATCTCACCTTACGTACTGGAATTCGTATAATTATACGTCCTAAAATTGAAATCATATGCAAACAAACCAGCAATCCACCCATAGCCATCATTACTGTTAAACTAGTTAATAATAACCGATAAATAGCATTAATCAAAGTTGACAGACTTCCAATTGATATGGTAAGTTGTTCATAGTCAAAATCTAATTGATTTCCATCAACTTGAATAAATTCTGTTTGATTGTTAATTGAGGTAATATGTTCATTGGTTTTTATATTTTTCGGTTGAAATGATTGTTCATTTAAACTAGTCATTCTTAATAAACGTGATAGATGACCTTCAAAAAAAATAATAGATGACATTTAAAATTTGGTTATTATAATTTAAGAATTTATTACTGAAATTTTATTGCCGGAATAAACAAATAAAAGATGAACACATAATAAATATTATACAGTTTACAATTCAAGAAATAGAATAAAATAATAGGCTACTAGAATTCGATGTCTAGGAAGTAGATACAGCCATATATCATGTCCTTTACTCTATATTTTAACGTCTTTATATATGATACAAATCATTTTTGAAGCAACCTTGTTCAGAATTTAAATTTTGGAGTGATTTTAGGTAGACCGCCACCAATGGAAACCAGATGCAACTGGATACCGATTTCATCTTAGTATGAGTCTTTTTCAGTAGTGCAGTTTTTCAAACTTGTATTCGAGAATCAAGGCTAAGACCTTCAGTCGCCTGTGTGAAAGTTTAATCTCTTGACCACTGAGCCGACATTTAATTCATGATATTACGTAACTAAATCTTTTTGTTTGAGCCTGATAAGAAGTACAGAGAGTCTATAAAACTTGAAACGCGAAGTAATATTGTTGTGTAGATACGTAGAGATGGGTTATATACTACACTTCGGATATTCCCTTTACGATACGTTGATATTGTCTGTAAATTCACAACTACTTCACATTTTTGGTGAACACATTACTGTTAATATATCTGAAAAGAAATCGACTCTAGCGGAAGTGAACTTTGCACGTTAATCAGTTACTTGGTTTCATAGTAGCACGAAGAAATTCGCTCATACGTATTTGCTGCAAGTGTTCTTTCTTTCTCACTAACTGACTACCTAAAAGTTTAACACTTAAACAATGAATAGATCCATGATTACCGAAATTATTCCAAACACCCTAAAAGCTAATTGTTGAGTCAAATGTAATGAATACGAAGACTCTTCAAAATTTCCCGTGTTTCTGGTCTAAAATGATTAATTTGAATTATGAAGCTTTGTTTAGTTGGGGAAAAAGAAATATATCTTAGTGATAATTATATATATATTCATGTACTGTCAAGATATATTACTTACTTTCAGCATAAGTAGCAGGAACTACAACAGAGAAATGACAGACAGGAGTTTTTAATGTATGTTTAATTTGTTTATTTGTTAACGGATCCAATTTCCAGTTGGACAAAATCAATAATGCTTGTTCAGTAAATTGAGAATTTGAACCAATTAATTCACAGGCTGAAAATGTTGAATTTGTATTTGTTATCTCAGGTAAATGCATTCTCACAGCTTGTTGATCTAAGACATAATAGTGATTAGTCAATCCTTTTTGCAATAAACATAATTCCGTGATAAATTGTAGTTGTATTTGAGTCTGAAATAAAATTGAAAGCAGATTATGCATTTAAGAGTAGTGTGAAAAAATAATCATAATTTGGCATGTTTATCAAAGTTAACATTAAGATAGTTTTTATCATAAATTTAATTAAGTTTGAAGATAATTAATGGTTACGTTTAACTCCTAATAAAGGACGTTTTATCAGTGGTTACTGTTTAAGGCTGAATTCCAAAACAAGTATCCTGTCTACGAGCATGTTATCATCAGAATGATGAATGAGTTGACACTCAGTAATTACTTGTTCTAAATTCACTTAGCTCAGTGATTGTTTGGTTAGAAACAATTCGTGAACTATCTTAAAAACTCGCAATCTTAAAAATGGAATCTACTTTTATAGACATATATTTTTCATAAATAAAATCGCTGTTTCATAGTTCTAAGCGGTCATGTTCAAACATGTAGTCTATCAGCATTACTAATGTTTATTCCTTATCAACGCAAGTTTAATGAAAACATTGAGCATTTCGGAACTACGCATCTCTTTCAAGTACCTCAGAAATGCATACCAATTTCGTCATCCCTGTTTGTTAGATATCAGTTTCTTAAAGTTTTCTGTTATTTGACTGCATTGTCACATCCTTTTCTAAGCTTTAAAACATTAGAGCGTCATTTTAGCCTAACTGAGCTTTACAAAAGTTAGTAGAAAATGTTCATCATCTCTCTTGTTATTAAATGATTACGTAACTCCATTTACATAACACTTAGCTGCTATACTAAATCGTCTTACTAAATCTCTTATGTATATAACTCGGTTGTTTGTTTAAATTTTTACCCGAAGTCAAGTAGTTCAGCAAGGAAATCCTTCTAGAGATGTTTCATCTTCACAGTTGTAATCACATATACAAACAGTTTTTTAAAATGAAGTCATTTTAAAAAAGTATATATATTCTTTTAACTGAATCATTTGTTTTTATAATGTCATTTTCCCTGATTTTTTCTGATCTTTTAAATTTGAACTATCATATATCAATCATATTGATAAATGTTCACGTTAACTTTCTTCTAATCGTTTTATACTTTAGTTTTTAAATATTTTGTTCGATTGTGTAATCAGTGAAATCAAAATATGGTATTAAATTATAAAAACGGAATTTGTTTTATTCTGCTCAAATTATTATTACTATTATTTTGCTCATTTTTTTAATCTTTTAAACTGTAATTGTTTTTAAAAAAATTTGTTTACAGTTAATATGATTTAACAAAACAAAATTGTTTCTAAAAACTTCTCTAATCTTTGAATGTCATATTTAACTCAGTAGATGTGGAAATTAAAACATTTTTTATTGTTTGTTTTTTATTTTTTGTTAAATAAAGTCAAATCATTGAAGGATATCAGTAATTGTGATTATGAAAGTTCAACTCATCGATCGATAAAGTTAGTAAACATTGATAATTGTCTAAAGATGGATAATATCTTACGTCTGTCAATGCTTAGAGAAATTATGAAATAATCGATCAACAAAACTTTTTATTTAAAACGGTAGCTAAACTTTCGAATTTCGTAGTTGTAAATAAAATAATTCGTATGAATAGGGAAAATAAAATTAACGCTGTGATGCAGCCTAAACATTTTGAGTTACTGTTTATACTGATCATATGATTGGGCTTGACTTATAACAGATAGAGAGAGGTGAATGATCAATAAAGTTGTAACTAAATAGTACAAATCGTCATAATTTTGGATAGGAAAATACCAGGAGCAAAAACAAACACTAAAGTTACGATTGATTGAGGATATTTTGATTGCATGTTGCTTGATTTGCATTGCAAGTATTCATACTTATTTCTATGACGCAAACAGGACGATCCATTTCAAACTGAATCTGTATTTCTTCATAAAAGGAGATAATATATTAGCGGCTCACGACTTAACTCCAATGTGGACGAATGATCGAGTATGTGATGAAATAAATCTTCCTATCCACTTCCGTATATTATACTTAGGCTAACCCCGTTTGTGCGACGGCGGTAGTAAGAAGCCAAATACAGTGTTCCGGATGAATTTATTTCATGCATTCATTTATGCAGACAAACATGAGAAGGGGAAGCGTACAAGCAAAACGAAGCGAATTGGAGAAAGCGAGTAAGCCAACTGTCCATGAGCTGAAGAATGACTAAGTATTCATTATAGTCAAGTAATAATAGGCTAGACATGTATTAAGCGAGTAAGCATCCACACACACACAATCAAATATACAATAATCGATACTGTAATCGAATTATTACAAATACAAAATTATGGTCGCTACAATTATCGAATAATTTAAATGACAAATTATTGAAGTACGATGAATGAATGGTGAGATGCTACAATATATTTTATTAAGAGCCGAGGAAAAAAATTTGTAGAATTTATTTTGTTTTTTCTGAAAAAAACACTTGACACTTAGCTAAGAATTATTGGCTCTAGAGTTATTTTGTAGAACATTGATAATTCATGTTACACAAATGGGAAGTTGGTTATTCTACTTAAGCCAAACATGATTATAGAGTAGCAATCTAAGCAAGAAATCATTTATCCTGTCAACATTGGTTTGATTATTTAAGAACATAATATAAATCAGATGTTCATTGTATTGTTAAGTGAAAAATTCAAATTCTAGTCAGTGATTAAGTGTCTTCTAAGGTATAAATAAATCGAGAAATGGAGACTGACATGGGAAGAATGAACAGCAGTTGGACGAAACTAGAAAGGAAAGCCCAGGACAGAGTAGGTTGGAGAATGCTGGTCAGCGGCCTTTGCTCCGTTGAGGAGTAATAAGCGTTAGTAAGTAAGTAAGTAAAGTATGAGTTTACAATGATTCATGAAATGAATTCCAATATAGGCAAACCATCTCAGTTTCCAGTATAAGAATGGCATTAGCACACAAATTGTATTTCAAGGTTGACAAATTCGTATCCTAAAACTGTAATTCTATACTTGTAGTACCTTCACATACAATTGAGCTTATTCATATCTAAATTGTTTACGCCTTTTGATCAACTTATTTAACCGAGTCATATGTAAAGCAATAACTTATATGTACCGTTGGCTATTTTATTGTCTGGTTTTCAATGAGCTGATACGAGTGAACATTGCTTACCACCTACGCGCATATTAATCCTATTCGTTTTAATGATTCGATAACTTAGCCATTTTCCTATGTACAAATATGTACATTTTAATCTTATTAACTTATTCGCCAAATCGCTCACTTGCTTTTTTTGCTTGCCTTCTGGTACTCGCTTATTGATTTTGTGTACCTGTGGTCTGCTGTTCTAATTGCGGTGTGCCAAATAAACGTGTCTAACACTTTGTGTTTGTCTTCTAATACGTAAACAGGAAGGCGTTATTTAGTAACGGTTGTCTGGATGATCAGCATACGAAGTCTAGGAACTCATCGGCCACCGACCATCACGAAACTAGTGAGACACTGGCCACCACTAATATACTGTGTTAGAATACATTCCCAATGTATTAAGAACTTTACGGTAATTCATAACTTTACAATGAACTTGTTAAACACTAACTTATAATTCTGTCAGATTATTTAACTTTTCTTAAATAATATTTCACAGATAAATTCTTTAATATTTGGACAAAAAGTAATATTAGTCATCGTATAGAACCCATTCATTTAATCATTCATAATAGTTAAAAATAAAATAATCAATAAATAATCATGAACGTTTAGGCATGTTTCACTTAAAGTGCACTGTGAGTCAGAAGTGGCGGAGGCGTGGGGTGGGGAGGTGAGGGAATATTCATGTAAAAATAATTTAATCTCAATTACACATCCATCCGTTAAACATTCATTAAGTCGAGTTTTAACAATAAATGCATTAACCAATCAGATGAATTATACAGATTATCAATCAGATACTCTATTCAACTTATCACAATGTTTATAAATATAAAATAATCAACTAAAATATAAACAATTATGACTCATTCTAAATAAATATTTTATTGTTTTATGAAAAGTCATTAAAATAAATACTGAACAAAACAATTGTTTCGTTTTTGTGACAATTTTTTAAAAAATTTATTTTCACATTCATTGTAACAATAAATGACTTTTATTTTGTAATAAACATTTGATTTTTTTATTAAAATTTGTTTTAAATATCTTTCAACATGGTGAAAGTGAGTTTGAATTCCATCTGAAATGTTGCATGAAGTGATGTTAAAAAAATCGATCACCCAATGATCAACCAAGACCACTTACAGTTTATTTATATAACCTTTATTTTGCATTAAAGGGTAGTGTAGATTGTTGAGTTTTTTATTTAAAATCATAAATCTATCAATGTTAGACCACCACTGGAAACCTGGAGGCACTAGACGGCCGTTTCGTCCTGGTATGAGACTTATCAGTAGTGCACATCTACGATTTACCGAAGACAGTGGATGAGGTTGTGCAAGACCGTGGATTGATCGAAATTAGACAACAACACCCTTGGATGATGGCTAAGTGGTCCGGAGGGTAAATGTTCGGGCTCAAGACCGAAGGTCTTGGGTTCGAATCATGTGAGTAGCGGAAGTTTTGGATGTGCACTGCTGATGAGTCCCGTGCTGAAAAGAAACGGCTGTCCAAGGCTTCCGGTTTTCCGACGGTGGTCTTAAACAGATCGATCTATGATTTCAAAATAAACTCTGTTGACAGCGTCATTTACACATTTATCTAAAAACAACTCGTACTTTAAAACGATTTCTTACATTTTGAAAATAGAATGTGAAAATCCGCTTTGTCTGTAAACACATTGACTTACTTGTACATGTTCTAGTCTGTTAGTTAATTGATTCATCCAATAAGCTTCTTTCGCTGCATTGATTCTAGCAGATCTGATTAAATCCATATTTATGTGATTTGGTTGAATCGTTTTTAGAATAGCATTAGTTCTTCGTCGACAGTCTTCAAGTGCGCGTGATCGTGCAAATACACCGGTTCTAAAAAGATTGAATAAATCATTATTTTTTTTAGTAAAAATATTAGAGTCAACTGATCAGATCATGAAAAGATAACAAAAAAAATGTTTTTATTAAAAATTGTTTTGACTAATTTCATTTCCTTCTTATCATCTAAAAAATATTTGTTTTGGAAATTGAAACTTTTATTAAAATTACTACTAATTTAAAGTAAGCTCATAAAATCCATCGAGAGAAATTGTTTTCTAAAATTTTTGAGACAAAAATACGTCTATTTAATCTTATTCGGTTTAACCGAAGAATCAACTGTTTCGTCTCATAATGCGTCCTATAGTTTAATTTCTCTGTGTTACACATTCAATCATACACTGATATCTAAATGCACTAAAACTTCACTTGACAGTAAAATGTTTCATTGTTAGCCATTTCAGTCATTATACCAATATGGCTGATTATCATATAAACGTATTTTCTTAGGCTTGACAAGCCAACATCTCATATCTGTATGTCTAAACATTTACCTAAATCATTGTATATAAGAGTAATTCTTATAATTTCTTACAATATTTTTCTAAATATTTCTTAACAAATCATTATTTCTCCTTAACCCTAGATTACATTCTTTTAATCCTAATTCTTAAAAAAATTTTCTTGTTGATTCTTTTAAAAAATTTATTTATTTATCTAAACTCTTGGGAATAATTTGACTATTGAATTTTATTTATTTTTTTCTAAGCTCATTAACTAAATTTGTTGATTAAAAGGTTATTGATCAAATTATTGATTTTAGTTGATAAGTAGCTTTCCCATTGAATTAGAAATCTCCCTAATATACCGTTTCTTATTGGAAGACAAAGTTTTGCATTCGTCTTCACAAAAGTAAATGATTATATTTTCTATTGAATGAGTTTGATCAGTCTTTATCATTTGAATTTTTTTTGAATTAAATATCGATTAGGTTCTAATTGTTCCAAAGCGATTATTTTATTGTTTAGAAAGAGCAGAATTCCATTAATTCATGGCTTTACTTCAAATGGTTAAAGAGTAACACAGTGATCCATATTTCTAATGTCCAGTCAATTTTTGACTTAGGTTTATGTTGGAAATTCATCAAATATCCTAAAGAAATTATTTTAATAAGTCTAATTTAATTGGTCAATATCTAAGGTCGTCCTAAAATATTAAGTTCACATACTTTTTAATGTTGTTTCCTATTGGTTAGTATTCACGGTCGACCGTAACTGTATAATACACTGTCTGTAAAGTTTGATGCTCCTCTTCTTTTCTTCTGTCCAAGCCTCATATTTTCTAGGAGCTTGTATAATGCACTTTCTACGCCATATCAAGATATTTGATACCGTTTATGGGGGATTGGAACACTCGGATTAGAGTAGCCTATCGTGTCAATGGATCCCTTGTCTTGTGTTGGGATGTTAAATCCCCACAACTCGCTTGATAAATATTCTTAACTTTGGATTGATTCATGGGACCGATCAGTTGACCTTGAGATCACATTTCCCACCCAGAAAAACCTTGGCTGTGATTAGTTTACTGTGTATTTTAGTGTTCTATTTTTGTGACTCTCCCAAGGATGTCTCTATAGAGTATAAATAAACGCGATTTGAGTGCTTTGTTTCATTGTGTGCTGGTTGAGTGTTTGTAGAATACATAATTCTACACTATTTCAAGACTTCTTTACTGATTTTATTTGGTCAAGAGATCACAGTAGCCTACATGGACACTGGTATTGTTTTATTCTCGTTATTTGACTAAGGTGAACTCGTAATAGTTTAAGCATATCAATTTTTAAGCATAACAGTTTATTAGCCATTCATTAGAAAATAAGTAACCAAAAGGGCTAATAAGTTTTGTTTTTATATGCCAAAATCAACTAATTTAACATCAAGTACTCAGTAGGCCCGGTATTATACGTTTTTCATATGACGGTGTATGATATTTGTGTTTGTATACAATGAAATGTCGTACAGTTTATGTCATCACTCATTTATTATGTTTGCATTTTACAATCGATTATGGTAGATACGATATAAATTCAACGTATCTCTTTTTTTGTAACAGAGAAAGGCTTATCAGTAAGATAATAAATTGTTACACTTATTTGAACTATTTTTTATGTTCATAAAAATCGCAATCACATTCAAAAATCACAATGCAGTTTAATTTGAGGCAAAAATCGTTCCTTCAAATCGATTCTACTACAATAATGCTTTAAATTCAAAATCACTGAGGTTAATCTCTCTCTGCATACACAAATTAGTGATATCATAAATATTCTTGGTTACATTAAAAAGTACAGTAAGTATGGTGTTTAGTGCAACTGAGTGATAAGTATTGGAATCCAGAATGAATGTTGTTGGCTATATGGAACTCTCCAGTCGGATGCCTTTGCATAACTATGTTGATACCTACTGATAGGCAGGTACATGCGGCTGGTGAATCCCCAACAGGATGAAGCGCTCATCCTCGTTTACGCTGCTAGCCATTATACAACTTTGCTACAACTTGTGGTTAAATGGGACTATTGAGGTAATGTATTCAAAAAGCACCTATGTTGAAAAAAGTTGAGTAATGGTACTCCTTAAAATCTATATTATCCTTCTATAGTTTCTATTTTTAGTCAATTAAAAGTAATATAAAAACAAACAGTTTTCCAGTCCGAATTTAAAGCGAGTTAAATTAATACGAAAATGTCCATTTCATTTAGATTGAACTCATTACTTGATGTAGCATGATAGCTACAGATAAGTTTGGTACTTCAGCGCTCAGACACGTGCGTAATGGCCACGTCTAAACCTTTAGAAGTTCGCTGCTCAGGAACCATGGGTAGAAATTATAAGAAGCCTTATTTCAAAGGTGAAATTTAAAACCAAAAAACAAAAGTGTTTAGACGGTTACATGAGATTTCGATAACTTTAGGATGAAAATAAAGAAACTATCATCAAAGTTTTTTTCGAATTTCTCATGGAAGTTTCTACAGAATAAAGTCGATTTATTTCCAAGCTTTTCCTGGATTCTGAGCACTTTTTCGGGGACTATTACGTAGTTTACTGAAATCAGATCATGAGTAAGTTTGCTTCACCGATCGTTTCAATGATAAACTGATTGTCTTCCTAACTTATCATAGTCCTAACAATGAGTACAGAATCAATCTTACTCAGATATTGTTTAATAAGTTAAAATTGCATTTGAAATTCCGTCAATGAGCTTTGTGTACTTTAACTTTTCAATACTTTCACTTTTAGTCTCTAGAAATGTCAACTAATTTAATGCATACTAGTAATTAATGTCATGCTATCTAAAGTTGTTATCTAACACTGTCGAAATCTAATCATTACATTTACAGATTAGATAACTTGATAGTACGTTTCACTTTGGTTCTGATGGCTGTATATAATGAAAAAAATCAGGAACATCGATCGTGTGATAGTGGGTGCTCCTCAGCATGATATAGAGAAAGTCTAGATGGAAAACGTTACTCTGAGAAGGATTTTAACTGTCAAAACTTCCACCACTAAACTATCCTACGATCGAATAAAATTTTAGAGGACTATGATATTTATATCAATCGATCTCTTTACTGTAACCAACTTCCTTTCTGCTTAGATTCTTAGATCGAGAAAAACACAAGAGAAGATGAGATGAATTGTAAACTTTATTAGTAGAATAAAGTGTTTATTGATTCAAAGTGTTCGATTTGAAACGCATATTTTCATCGGCTTTTCAATATTCTTGCATATTAATACTAGTTATTACTATGTCTCTACAGCGCTGTAGCTGTAGTTAGAAATTGGAAATTGAACAACACATATAAGCGAACAATATTGTTTTCGATTAGATCATCATCAGGCTTTACTCTAATATACATGAATATTTATATGAAAATGTAAAACTAATCAAGGCAATTTGAGTCAATAATCACAATGAAATGAAACAGAGATTACGTCATTACACATAATAGGCAAAAGTACATCTGTCTTCCTACTATCAACTTGTACTTTTGCCTATTATTTGTAGTGACGTAATCTCTGTTTCATTTCATTGTGATTATTAACATTTTCATATATAAATATTCATTAATATTAGAGTAAAGCCTGATGATGATCTAATCAAAAACAATATTGTACACCTATTATATGTGTTGTTCTAATTTTCACAATGAGAATCTTTAATATTCTTTTAAATTGGAAATGGGCAATACTAAATCAAATTTAAGATGCCTTAATTTTATATTATAATAATGTCATCTAAACTGCGTATTAGTTTAATAACATTCGAGCAAATAATACCGAGTAGGATGAAAGCCTTGAGGGGATGTCCTTATTACACGTTCAACAAGGGAAAAATAAAGTACCATGAAATTCACATATTGATTTAAAATGATTTATGCTCAGTTTCATTTGAATACGTAATTATATTGTATGAATTAAAGCAGAATAAATTTCAATTGTATCAGTTTATTGAGTATGTAGTTAGTTATTTTATTCTCATAGCATTTTCGTTGTATTGATTAATTCGTGGCGATTTTTACAGTCATTGGCTCAATTGGCTCAATTTGAAATAAACATTGAAATAGCCGGTTTATTAGTCAATAAATTTGAATGAAATTCATTTCTCCCCAGGGAGTGTCTATCAAGAAAAGCTTCCATAAAAAAAACTTGGACTTCTTAATCTAGACAGTGAGTGAGTGAGTGAGTAGTCAGGTAAGTCGGATTGGAAAAAAAAAATTAATTAATTTAGTTCATAAATTCATCAAGGAGATATGTAACTACCATATTGAAACCTTTTTTGTATTTCATAATCCCTAATGTATGATTTTTAATTAAATAAATAACAGTAGATGTAGAGTATGATTGCTATTTTATTCCTGAAAATTTGCTACGAATTAGGTTTGTGTTAAGTAAAAAGAGATCAAGTGAACTTAGGTTGTTACAACTTAAAAGTTTCATTCGGCAAAGCAAACCATTTGATCCGTACGACTCAATTAAGTCAGTCACAGACAGTTTAAT